CTGTGCTGGGCTCTGGGGATTCAATTTGATTCAGTTCATTTCTGCTCAACGTTATAAGCAGTTATTAAGTTCCTCTTATATGCTAGGTACTGTGTAGGGCTTTCTATCTGATTTAATTTAATTCAACAAACATTTGTTAAATGCTTGCTGTGTTCAGAGGCATTAGGCTAGGCATGTGCCAAAAAACCCAGCCAACTAAAGGAGTCCTTACCCTCAATGATTTTCTATTTTTCTTGGAGTGAGGTAGAAGAGTTACATACACAAAGAAGTAATACAACAATCTATACAAATTAGGTATAAAGTAATTTTGAAGTGTAAAGGTAGACATTAACCAAGAGCAGTTGGGTCAGGTTGAGCCTTTGAGGTGTTCATACTCTGTTGGAATTCATTCTCATTCACCCATTTCCTTCGCTTTCTTTAAGATACAGCTCGGGCGCTATTTTTAATTCCCCATGTCCCGTGACCTCACTAGGTCATAACTACTGGTATTATTGTTCTCATTTTGTAGATGAGGAAACTGAGGTCAAGAGGAAGGGAACTTACACAAGAAATACAGATTAGAACTAGGATTTCAACCCAAATGCCTTGACACTCATTAGAACTAGGATTTCAACCCAAATGCCTTGACACTCATGTCAAGTCATTTCCCAGGTTACAGGGCTACCTTTCTTTGCGCTATGTTTTCTTCATGTCAGCTGTGAGGGAGGGGGTACAAACATTACCTCTGTCTTATTCCCATATGGTTTTTGTTAGTGGGTTCTGAAAGCATGTCGGCTGTGGGATCTGCCTCCAATGACTCATCAAGGCTGGGATGTAGTTGGGAACCTAGCTGAGAACAAGGAAAGGTCTACAATTTTGATTAGCCCCAGCTATCTTCATGTTTGTCAGCAATAGAATGTAGCTCTAGGATGAGAGGTCAGTGTAGGGAGAATCCACATGGGGAGAATCGCGGGGTTCCATTCTCAAAAAGACACATAGACTTAGGGACCTATATCCCAAGGCCCTCTTGGCAGAAATATGAAGGGTGGTTTCATGACACAAAAGACCTGGTTGGTAAGACTACTCACAACAACGAGATTGGGGGAGATGCCCATGATGGAAGCAGATTTCAGGGGGGCCCAGCCGGTCTGAGGATATTTCCAGAAAATGGCTGAGATGGATGCTAGGCCTGAAATCAAGGGCGATAACTTGGTGTTAGTCCACCTTGGTGGGATGAGTCCGCAAGCATCTATTAAAGCACACGCTACGTGTTGGTACTGAGCACACAGATGCAAAGAATGAGAAAATAATCCTTGCTCTCAAGGAGTTAACATTCCACTTGGGAAGAAAGCACACACATATGGAAATATGCATCAGTAGGATGAGCAGATGCAGAATCAGTCTAAAACATAAAGTAGTTAAATTTAAGACAGTTAGGGAGAGAGGGGTGCTATTTGTTGGAGGGTTAAGAAAAGCCTTCATGTAGAAAAGGTGGCACTTCTTTACAAAAAAGATGAGCAGGAAGAAATCTTTCCAGGGTCTTGAGCTAGTGCTTAGGGGAGGAATCTGGGGAAAAGGCCACACTAGGCTGGGGTGTCTGTAGGAGGGAAGACTTCTCCTTGGCCCTGGATGCCTGGAACTGAATTGCATCAGAATCACCAGGTTTGGTTCGTTTCCCTTCTTCAAGCCTCCCCCCTCCCATTCTATCCTCCACTCTTCCTAAATTTCAGGTCTAACTATATTGCAGCCTCCATTCAATAGACTTCAGTGGCTCCCCATTACCTCCAAGATAAAACACAGAATCTTCTGTTTGGTTGTCATTCTGCCCTTCACCCCCTTCTAGTCTTATTATAATTACTCCCTTCCTTCCACATCTTCTGGAATCCAGGGACACTGCTCTATTTCTTGTTCCTAGATCTCCTGACCCTGAGTGTTTTCCTGTCCCCCATGCCTAGAACTAACAGTCTCTCTCTCTCTCTCTCTCTCCCCATCCCCGTGCACTTTCCCCCTTCCTCCCTCCCCTCCCTCCCTTCCTTCCCTTCCCTCCTCCCTCCCTCCCTCTTCCCTCCCCTTCCCTTCCTTCCCCTCCCTCCCCTCCCTCCCTTCCCTCTTCCTTCCCTCTCCTCCCCTCCCCTCCCTTCCCTTCCTCCCTCCCCTTCCCTTCCCTTCCCTCCCCTCCCCTTCCCTTCTCTTCTCTACTTCCTAACTTCCCCGGATTCTTTCAAGTCTTAAATAAACTTCCACCTTCTTCAAAAAGTCTTCCTCAGTCTTCCTTAGTGTTAGTGTCTTCCCTCTGTTGATCATTTTTCAGTTGATCCTCTCTATACCAGACTTGTACAAGTTGTTTTCATGTTCTCTCTTCCAAATATGAACTCCTTGAGATGAGGGAATTTTCCCCCGGCTTTTCTTTGTATTGCTAGCACTTAACATGAAGCCTGGCACATAGCAGACATTCAATGAATCTAGTTAACTGAATGACAAAGTCTGTTTTAGAGGGAGTACTCAAATGTACAGCAAGAAACCAAGTCTGGACTGTTTTCAAGGGCAAGAATGGTGTGGAAGTTGGCAGGATGAAACTAAGAATAGGCCAAGCAGCATGTCACTGGTGCTCGGGCCCAGGAGAGTCTGGTGAAAGCCTTGGTATTTGTGAAAAAGTTATCTGTTCCTAACTGGGAAGAAATCTTTGCCACATGTATCTCTGATAAAGATTTCCTATCCGTGATCTATAAGGACCTGGCTGAAATTTATCTAAGAACCCAGTAGATAAAGGGTCCAAGGATAAACAGGAATTTTTCAAAGGAAGAAATGTAAGCTATCAATAATCATATGAAAAAAAAATCACTAAAAAGTAGAGAAAAGCAAATGAAAGTAACTTTGAAGTTCTACCATTCACCAGACGGGCAAAGATAACAGAGGAGGAAAATGGCAAATGTTGCGGGGGGGGTCTTGGGAAGACAGGCACAGAAATGATTAGTGGAGCTATGAATGGGTTCTGACATTCTGGAAAGCAGTTTGAACCCCTACCCAGAAAGCTACCAAACTGCATGCCCTTTCACCCCACTACACCGTGACTAGGGGTATATCCCTCCAAAATCAAAGAAAATAGGCCTATATCCCAAAGAAATCAAAGGAAAAAAGCCTACATCCCAAAGAAATCAAAGAAAAATCAAAGGGAAAAGGCCTATATCACCAAAAAAATCAAAGAAAAAAGGCCTAAATCTCAAAGAAATAAAAGAAAAATGACTAAATCCCCCCAAACCAAAGAAAAATCAAAGAAAAAAGGCCTATATCCCAAAGAAATCAAAGAAAGAGAAAAAAGATGCATACATAATAAGAAAAAAATCATAGCAGCTCATTCCATGGTAGGCCCAAACTAGAAACTACAGGGTTATCCTCCTATTGAGGAATAGATAAACAAACTATGGTGTATGGATGTAATGGAATATTGTTGTATCATAAGAAATAATGAAATGGAAATTTTCAGAGGAAACTTGGAAGGCCTTTATGAACTGACGCAGGACGACATGGACAATTTCTACAATAGCAATAGCATTAGAGAGGGGGAAGAAAACCCTTTTGAAAGACGCTGATAAATCACGAGTCCAGAGGAGTGCCTTTGAAGTCCACAAGTCACCTCCTGATAGAGAGGTGGTGAGCTTGGAATTCAGGGAGAGACATGCATCTCTGGACATGGCTGATGAGGGCATTTGTTTGGCTGGGCTGCACAGCTGCATGTTAGGGGTTTTTCTTTTCTTTCTTTTTTTGTGTCAGTTGGTGGGGGGTGGAGGGACAATGAGAAGGGCTGCTTAAAATGAGAGAAAAAGAAACTGTTGATGTCTTCTATATTACCATACTCTATGGCCTATGACTGTCCTCTTCGTGTAGTGCTTTGCAGAAAATCTCTCTTTAAAATAACTTGCCCTTTTTGACAAGGGAGGAAGCCCTTCTGTCTCCTTCCTGCAGGGACCTGGTGGTCAGGTATCCAGGAATACTAGGGATCAGATGGTCAGAGGTTTAAAGCTGAAAGGAACCTGAGAGGTCAATCCCCTCATTTTATAAATAAGGAAAATGAGGCCCAAAGAAGGATCATTAGGTGAAACGTTTAGAGCGGGAAAGAATCTTAGAGATCATAAAATCCACCCCCATCCCCTCACCTTATAGAAACTGAAATTACTGAGGTGAAGTGACTTCCCCAGGGTCACTCTGCTATGGGACGTCAAAGGCAGGATTTGAAGTCACATCTTCTTCATACCAAGTCTATCCACTACAGCACTAGGAGGGGCTAGAAACCCAGTGGATGGTACCTGATGAGTCTTTGGTGCCAAAGTGAGGCAGTGAGAGCAGATGGGATAGAAATGGCGGTCATCCTGCCGCAGGCCTCAGTGGCAGTGATACCCCAGGGTCTGTGAGCAGCAGACATGGTAAGAATATTTTCTTCCAACTGAGTTCGTAAGACCTGGGGAGTTCAGCGAGTCCATCTCTCTTCGTTAGAGCAGTCTTCACTTAAAAAGGAGATGAATGTCTGCCCTATTTTAAAAATATCTTCAGGAAAGATTTTGGTTTCTCACTCCATCAAGAGACTCTGCAAAATTTCTTCTTACATAAGCCTCACTGGGTCAGACCATTTCCCAGGGACCCTAGGAGGACCCAGGAAGAACCTAGCATCTTTTATCCTGAGATATACCAATAACCCTTCCAAATAACACTTAGAGGAGAAGAGCTCAAATGCAGAAGTAAAAAAGGGCAAATATGAACTCTCTGACAGGTTGGGGATAGCAAGGAACCCAAATTTTTACATGACATTAAATGATTTCAAAGATGACTTTTCTCTTCTTAAGCCTGATCTAGAGTTTTATTACTCCTTGACAGAGAGGAACCACATTTTGGCTACACCCAGGGGGAAAATGATATCATTTTCATGAAAGAATTTCAATAAAATAAGGAAGTACTGCTTAAGAACAATGAATTCTGAAGACAGCCAATATTCAGATCCTTTGAAGGAAGGGGGTGTGTCTACTTACTCTGGAGGTTATGTAGCAACTTGTCCAGTAGAGCCATAAATTTGGACAGTTGGGGGACGGAGAAGTTCTTGCCTTTGGCCCACCAGAATCCAGCCGTGTAATAATCCAGCAGAATGGCTTCCTTTAGTGAAGTAGGAAGTTTTTGGAAATTCAAAAACCCTTCCAGTTTTCTGTAGCCAAAAGAGAATCGTAGAAATTAAATCTGCCCCAATAGGGTCAAACTGCCCTCTCTAAGAGGTGTTTGTGAAGAATGGTCCCTGCAGGGTGCAGATGACGTGATATTGGTCACAGCCAACGAGATTCATCTGCCCTTGATGCCTTCAGCACTCCCTGTTCTAGGTTTGGTGGGGTTAAAGAATTAGGTCTCAAGGAAATTCCAATCAAAATGGAGAAGGAAGAGCAAATTTGCAAATACTCTCTACGTAAAGGGATACGCAAGTATGTCAATTCATGACAACTTTTGGATGAATGTGTGCTTTAAACAAAGGCAGTGTACTATGGTGGAAAGAAAAGCTGAGTTTGGAGTTGGGAAGACCTGGCTTTGAATTCCACTGCTCCCCCTTCTTACTTGGGTAACCTTGAAAATTCACTTAACCTCGGTGGGGTTAAATGTTAATGTTAAATGACCAGATTGGACTAGATGCCTTCTCAAGACATCAAATCTAGGATCCTAGGAATTAAAACCTTGCCCAAGCTATCTTCTCTGGCAATAATTCTCAGCCTTTTTGAGCACAGAGCCTGGAGGCATACAACAATCACTTAACAAATGTTTGCTGATGACTAGAGCTATAATTAGGGTGGAGACTAAGTCTTTGCTTCAGGACAAGAAATTAAGAAAGTAGGAACAGCATCATGTGGGAGACACTTCCTTCCCTGCCTTCTCTGCCTCGGCTTTCCCTGTATTGAAATTGGTAGTGCTGGTGGTCTCATCCTGGGGGGCACTTTTTTGCTTGTCTACCCCAGCCCTCAAGGCAGAAGTAATACGCTCATTTCAGGGGCCCTTCCTCATCCTTTAACAGCTCAGCAATCTTGTGGTTATCTAGAATGTACTTCTGCCCAGAGGTTACATCATAGGTGAATCTACCTGACACTCCCCACACCCCCTCAAACCCTCCCACATACACATATAGCTGCCACTTGCCCCAGGTACAGAAACTACTAGTTATCATTAGAACAAGGGGCCCTTTTAAACATCAAAATAATTTCACAGCTCCACACATGATTGCAGTTGTACAATTAGCATTCATTGATTGAAAAAAAATACAAGATTAGATTGATTTGGACTCCTTTCAAGCTTGGAAACTACTAACTAGCATAAGGAATGCAAAACCTTGAAGAAAAATGCCTGAAACAATTGATGAGATAGTTTGTATTTTTCTAAAGGAACCACATTCTCCCCCAGAAGCGAAGACATGGGTAGCCTTGGATACACCATCTCAGACGCAAGCTTCATTGTCTCGGCCTGTGGCCGACTTTCACCAGTATCTGCTTCCTTTCACAATCTGACCATCTCTATTGCGTTCCCTGTTTCATAGACTCGTGTGCTTTTAGAGATGGAAGGGAATTTAGAGACCTCGTCCCAATCCCCTCATTTCATAGAGGCTAATTTTCGATTTTCCTCTATCCAGCACCTGGCATAGGGCCTTGCACAAAGAAATTGCTTAATAAATATTTGTTGAATTGAGTGGCAGTGGAAAATCCTGGACTGAGGCCCAAGTTTCTTAACTTTGGCTCCAGTGCTCTTCCCATGACCGGATTCCTTTCCTTTGTGCACCTCGATAACACAGCAGAGACACTGTAGGGCTCTCCTGTCTTTTGGGAATACTAGAAGAAAGTATGGTTATGTTCAATTTCATCTCAATGCATTCCAGGGATGTTAAAAAAAATGATGGGGGAAAAAAAACGCTTACAGGTTTTTATAGTCTCTGTGGCAAAATGCTTTATGTAGCATTTACATTTGTTTTCACTTCCTATGGGGGCAAGGAGCCTGAGATATCTGAATAGAACTGGGCAATTATTTTAGACCGCCTTGAAAACTATGACCATTGAGTTCTCTCCTTTACTGGGAAAGTTGCTAGGTTGCGTTTGACTGTCGGAATACTCACTTTTGAACCCCATGTATGTTTTCATTTAGCAGATCATTGATCTGGAGTTCTGAAAGGAAATCTGAAGTCAGGATCTTTGGAGAGTCTTCGTGAGAAATTTCCTATAAGAAGACAATGGTAAAGATTATTTCAGTACCCGCTTGGATTCAGAGTCTGTTCTGCTATCAAGTATCATATAGACCTAATCTACATGTCCCCAAACGGAGCTAGTGTTAGTTGGTTTGAATCTACTCCTTTAGTAAGGAAATATAAGAACAACTCTTCCAAAGTGCTGACCGTTTTTATGCTAATTGGCACAAGAATCCCCTTAATTAGTCCTGGATTTGTGTGATACCGCTTCTTCTGAACTCTGCAGTATGGGAGAAAAGATCATAAACTAAGAAGCAGAGCAACCCTTCTTCTGTGGTCCTATGCCTGACCGACCATGTGGCTTGGAGCAAATCACCGACCCTCTCCTGGTCTTAATTTTGTTTATTAGCAATCCTAAAAGTATGTTGCTTTTTTTTCTATGATATTTGTGATTCTTTCTCCTCCGCCCCGAGTACTCCAGGGACCCTTAGGGTTGTGTGGCTTGAGTGTTGCCTTTCATAACCTGGCTGGAAGATGACATGACATGACATCACTTTTTCAAAAAGGGAGTGCAATACCTAAGCAGTCCATGGTGAGCTTGTCGGTTTCTCTAGTTTAAGTGCATCCTAGTCCCAAAAAGGGCTGCATTACCTCTGTTGGCCATCAGGTGGCACACAACCTGCAAACACCCACACCCTTCCCCCCAACAGAAGCCCCTGCTTTGATGGTGCTCAGTGGTTCAGCCCAACCTCTGCTGACAGGGTTTTAAGTCAGTGTAAGCGGGCAAAAGGGGATATTTCTAAAAACATTAAAATACGAAATCTACCCCCTTTAATTAGCTCATGAATTCCCACCCTGTCTGGGCTTCCTTCACTCAGTTCTATCTCTGTAGTAACTAGAGTCGGAATTTGTATGGTATTGTTACGTACTCAAGTAATCACGAAGCACTTGTCATTCAACTACGCGTGCCAAGCAGTATGCTAGCTAATGACTATGCAAATATAAAAGTGAGATGTTCCGGTCTTCAAGGAGCTTATTTTCTAATGGGACAATGCATATGCAGATTGTTCAGTCATTTTTCAGTCACGTCTGACTCTCTGTGACCCCATGTGGGGTTTTCTTGGCAAAGATACTGGAGTGGTTTGCCATTTCCTTCTCCAGCTCATTTTACAGATAAGTAAATGACACACACATGTAATCATCAAACAGATAATAAGACGATTTGCTTGGGGAGGTAGAGACAGAATTGGGGAATCAAGATCGGCATCTTGAAGGTGTTACTGATTTCTGGCTGCCCAGGTCAAAGATGAGGATGGAACCTAGGATCGTATACTGAGAATATCACAGAGCAAAGTACAAAGGAAATAGATCAAACACCCCATATGAAGGGATCCATGAGCAGCTGTCTCCTAATCCTTCTCCTGATTGCCTTCCCAGATATTTGGAGATAACTTAGGGACGCCCATCCATTTGCGTCTGCAATTCATGGAAAATAATCAAGGTTACATCTTTACCATGACTCTGGGTCAAGGACTAGAAAAAAAGGGAAGATGGAGAGAATGGGCAGGGAAGTCATTTTCTCCCAGTTCATAATCCCATCAGTGTGTGTAAAGTTTCTTGGCCCCCATCTCTGTTTCAGAACCAGCATCTTTTTTGCTCTGCTGGTCTCCAGCACGAGTCACTCTCATATGACTCATCCCACTTGTGTGTGTCACCACAGCCACAGGGTAGCACTGGTCGTGGTCTCTGCTGCTTCACGCGGTCCCGGTTATAGGTCACTTGTGCCTCTGGCAGCAGCCAGCTGCTGCAGCCCCAGAGCCTCCCATCCCCTTTCATGGAAACTCAAAAAGTCAAGTCCAAGGTCAGCAGACCCAATCTGAATGGAACTCTGAATGCTTTTGGGTGTGGATTGCACTCTCTTTTTTTCTGCATCACTAGACTTTTCCTCATTGCCCATCAGAGATCCCTACTCTCCTGGTATAGGGGTAAGGGTGATTGGTCTTCTTGTTACAGGATCGTCCAGGGCCACTTTGCCAATCTGTCTTCTCATTCATCCCCCGAGCCCAGGAGTAAACAATTCAAAGGGATAACAGCATGGATGACATGAACATTTTTGGTGTCGTATATTTGTCCTATAGTTTGTTTGTATATATTTGTTTGCATGTTATCTCCCCATTAGATGATAAGCTTCTTGAGGGTGGGGACTGTCTTTTGCCTCTTTTTGTACTCCCAGAGCTTAGCACAGTGCCTGGAACATAGTAGGCACTTAATAAATATTAACTGATTGATTCAAGTCAGGGGTGTGGTTTACATTTCAATACATATAAAATAACTGACCAATTCTTTTTTTTTCTTTTGTGGGGGGTCGGGGACATGATCTGGGCCACAGAATCATACCTTTAGAACTAGAAAGTATCTTAGAGGTCATCTAGTCTAACTCTCTCATTTTACAGATGAGGAAACTGAGTCCCAGAGAGGTCAGGTAATTTGCCCAAAGTCATAGGGGCAGTAAATGACAGAGGGAGGTCCTCTGCCTCCAGATTCAGTTTTCTCCACTGAACCATGTTGGTTCAGTGATTTCATCAGTCTGGGGAAGTCCTGGTGTGGAAATTCTCTCCACTAACATAGCATAGGTATTAATAGCAGACATGAAAGTAATACTTTAAAATGCTTTACAAACATAACTTAATTTGAGCATTGTAATTAATATCCATTACTAGATGGAGGAGGAAAAGGAAAATCAGAGGTTAACAACTTGCCCAGGGTCACACAGCTAGTTAAGTGACTGGGACAGGATTCCAACTCAAGTCTTCCTGACTCCTGGTGCTGGGCTTTATCCACTGCGCCACCTAGTGGTAACCATTATTGATGCTAATATAGCACAGATTGGATAGCTAGGTGGTACCATAGTGCACAGAGTGCAGGACTTTGAGGCAGGAAGACTCATTTTCCTGAGTTCAAATCTTACTAGATGTGTGACCCTGGGCAAGTCACTTAACCCAATTTGCCTTGGTTTTCTCATCTGTAAAAATGAAGTAGAGGAGGAAATGGCAAACCACTCCAGGATCTCTGCCAAGAAAACCCAAAATGGGGTTACAGAGAGTCAGACACAACTGAAAAACGAGTTAAAACACGGTTGTTTCCTTGAAATCTGCCTTTTGGGAAATTTTTTTCTCTAACTTATTTTAAGAAGGAAATAGCATGAAGTTAATTTGAGTAATGGTCTTATTAGAAGGGGAAATTTCTTCCTTTTCTTTTCCAGGAAGCCTTTCCCAAATCCTCTTAATTCTAGTGCCTTCCCTCTGTTAATTATTTGCTATTTATCCATTAGATTGTAAGCTCCTTGAGGGCAGGGACTGTCTTTTGCTTCTTTTGCATCCCCAGTGCCTAGCATAGTACCTGGCACATATTTATTGAGTGACTTAATTTTAAAAATCAAAGAATTAGAAAAGGGAGTCAAACTCATGATGGTTTTTTAGAAGTACCACTGTGGCTCTTTCTGTGAAATGCCCTTTCCATTTGGGGTGGAGACATATAAGCCAGACTAGGTTGTTTGCTGTTGTTCAGTCATTTTCAGTCATGCCTGATTTTTTGTGACCCCATTTAGGGTTTTCTTGGTAAAGACACTGGAGTGGCTTGCCACTTCCTTCTCCAGCCCACTTTGCAGATGAGGAAACAGAGGCAGACGAGGTGAAGTGAATTGTTCAGGGTCACACAGCTAGTAAGTGTCTGAGGTGGGATTTGAACCCAAGGAGATGAGTCTTCCTGACTCCAGGCCCACGCTGTATGGACTATGGTGCCACCTAGCTAGGTTGTACCTTATTGTTTTCCACCACCTGGCTGGGCTTGTATTTTTCCTTCAACAGTGGTACCCACTGGAATCTAATATCCCAAGATGGCTCATTCACAAAAACTTGTTGCATTTTTCTGATGAACATTGAAATATGTCTCAAGTAGAGATTCCAAATGTAGGTCCAACCCACAGAATGTTGAAAGTGGACTATAAAACTCAGAATTAGATACGCTTTCTCTTGGAATTACTGTTAATTTGGGGGGGGAGGCGCTAAGGAGGTGAGTTGAGTTTAGAAAAAGCACAAAAAAAAAAGAAAAGTGAAAATCTTATTAAAATCATGGATATTCTTTTTCATCTGACTTTTGGTTACATGAAACCAACCCTGTGACTCAGCTTGGTTTAGCATGCAATGCTCTTATAGTCCAAATTATAATAAGAAAAAGAACTTTCCTTAAAGTTTTTGGAACAGAAAATGATGCTGATTTTTTATTATTTGGTAACATTTGATTCTCTAATGATAGAATTGAATTTGCAATTTGTTTTAGGAGGTGTTGCCATGCAAATGAAAAAGAATGGTGGGTTGGAGCATGGGCTGGAATCCTGACTCAGCCACTTATTATTTTTGTGATCCTGGTCAAGTCACGTCCCTAGGCTTGAGTCTAAATGTCTTCAGCTTTAAAGTGAGAGAAGGAGCTGAACTGAATAACCTCCAAAGTCCTTTCCTGCTCCAATCTATGATTCTGTGATGGTATAATCCCACAAAAAGGGTGGGAATCATACACTTGCATCTTAACAGTGACTTCAAGCAAATTACTTTCTTCCTCTGAGCCTTCACCTGCATGTGAGTGCAGAGGGGATGGGAAGAATTGACAGAGATCACCATGAAAGTCCCTCATAGCTCTAAATCTGTGCTCCTATGATTTCTTTCTCCATTTTGTTCCTACTAAATTATTATCAATTCCCGCCGTATTACTATCAAGTGCTGCTAAATCTCTTGTGTGCTGTTCTTTGATAAAGTCAGAAATAAATGTGATTTTGTTACTATCAAAAAAAGACACAGTAATACAACCAGTTCTCATGATGGTGATGTGCTACCAGAAATCAATGACCACACAGAAAAATATTAGGAATATAAGTTATAATTTGGGGATCAAGAAGTACACAGTTAGCTGTGTGACCTTGGGCAAATAATTCAACTACTTTTTGCCTCAGTTTCCTCATCTATAAAATGAGGAAATA